ATATAAGAACTGCAAGCTGCTTTTACTGTATTAACGCAACATATATTTCTCTGATTAAGAAACATTGTGTGTGTAAAAATAAAATATCCTAAGTATTAAAAAAAATGATAATTAATTTTCAAATTTGTGAAGATTTGATCGATAAGAATTAATCAAATAGGTAAAAATATTCAAAATAATCTTCTAAAGCTCAAGAGAAATCATAGATGATTTTACAATTTGTATAAACTATATGATTATAATTTTAATTATTTTGCTAAAAAATATTTGTAATTTTGCCAGTATACGTAACATATCATTTAACAGTAATTATTTCGTTTCAAAATATGACATAATGGAAATTACGCTAAATGACACGAGTATTTATCATTGTTGAGCAAGATAATTGGTTGAGATAAACGCGCCTGCCGAAGATTTTAGTCGTACTTTATTAGTGCTAAAGACACGTAATCCGCCGGCACTCGCATTATGCAAGAAATCATATTTGCACCTTATATGGCTGACCCGACCGTTCGCTCACACGTTAAACGCAGACAACCCTATACTGATTAAGCTTGTTTCGCTAAGAACGTCTGCCGCGTTAAGTCGAACCCGGCAAATTGCTTTCTCCATCGCGTACGGCGCAATTCGCACGCATCTGGGCGTCGCTCGCGAATTATGGCACCTGTTTTTTTTCTGTCAAGGATGCTGTGGAAGATCGCATCTTACGAAATGCTCGCGTTGTGAAATAAATATATACAGATATACATATCTCACACTGCAGTCTAATATGTTTCACATATGTTAAACGACATGCAGTAGAGACATCACACACAGAGACTTCTTGCCAAGTCGCTCACTTTATATTCATATTCTACTTGCGTTTTCGACTGACTTTTGTAAGCAGTTACGACATAATGATATTCATTTCTCCAGAATTTTTCATTATACGTTGTACATTTGTTGCATTGCTTACTTTCATAATTCATCTGATAGATGAATATTAATGACACAACTCTATAAACCATCTGGTACAAATGAATATATGATTACGAGATGATGGCTGTTAACTTTGTCGAGTATTTTATATCACGCGTTATTTTTCACAAATAATATTCAATCAATGATGTGATTATTAAGGAATAATTATTATGGAGTACCGATTAAGCGCTCGATAATTCGCTGTTACAAAATATGCGACGTAATTATTAGTTAAGTGTCTCATTATCAAGATGTTTATTGCATTACATTGCCGCATATTCCTCACGTGGATAACATTCGCAATATTGAATCGATATTATCTCAACACTATTATAGTTATTTGGCTATCGGCAACTTTTCGATCTTTGACATTTATTTTGTAGGAAAGGTTATACATTTTGCATAAATCCGGCAGAAATAGTCGAGAATATTGCTGTTCTCGAAAACAGTATTTTAAACACACTTCTTCTGAGATTTGAGTGGATTCTTGTAAAAATCTTACGTAGCACACCTTCGCATTTAAAAAAATTAATATAAACCTTTGTGCTTAACAAAATATTCTATTATATGATCATTTCATTAACTGACATTTTAATACAATCTCAAAGATTGTATAGAAAATTTCCAATTACATGTCTTTACATTGCAGTCTTCAATTATAATAATAGAATTTATTTTCGTTGAAACGCTCTTGCAACGTGTTCCAGAAAGACCCATCATCATTTATTCGCGCAAATTTCTCGGAATAGTCCGTATAAAAGAAATTGTATACCCTCGGCAATTACTCGATCGAGCCTTCATCGGCCTTCTTCCGCGTGTTCATTAGCGACAGTGGCGTGATTAGAAATTTCAACGCTCAATTGCGTTGCGCAACAGGCATTTTGCACCTTGCATGATCGGACCGTCGACCCGATGAGAAAAAGGCCATCGAGATCCATCTCGCTTATCGGCCAGCATCTCGCGGCCTCTCGCTTTCTCCGAATGTAAATGAAGCGTCTAAGGATACTTCGTGAGAGTGATCGATTGTTTACTTAATTTACACAGGTCTTCGCACAGTGCTAAGTAAGCGAGATAGCACGCTGTCAAGCTGTTTAGTAGTATAACATGCTCTAGTAATTGTCCTACTTATCAATGCAGCGAGATAGTCACTCACAATAAAGTAACACACATTATACTCGACTTCTACAACAAAATTTCGAAAATACTTTTTCGCATACAATTGCGCTGCATTTAAATGACAAGAGCCATCGACAAGAGCCTCTTGAGAAAGTACAACCTTCTCTTTCTCGGCGCCTTTTGTGATTCTACAATTGCAAGAATAAGATGATCACTCATGTCACCGGTAAATGATTTGTAAATAAATCCTCTCACATTTCCATCAAAAAATAACTTCTGACACCCGGAGGGAAGATTTGCGTAAACCACGGTGACGCCTTTCTCACAAAATCGCATGTCGTTAAACAACAACAGTATTGCGGGAATGTTGCTTATATACGAATCCTTTTTGTAGTTACATAACTACGACCCGCGTAATTTTTCGAGAGTCGCGAGTGAACTTATGCTAACCTCAATAAAACCAGTATCGTTATTATTAAACACTTCTTACGCAAAATTTTCAATTACGTAATAACGATATCTCTTACGGACGTGTCCTGGATCAGTTTTAATAAATGCATCTTTATTGTAATACGAATTCATGGTCAACCGTTGCAAAGAGAATAAATGATCAAATAAGAAATTTAAAGCTTCCTACATAATTTTCAAAGATAAAAATAAATCTATAGCTTAAAATAGAAAAGTATTTAAAGTATATTTCATAAATTACGAACAAATATCAACAGCTTAAATATAAAATGTGTGCACTTTAAAAGTAAAATAATAAATTTACACGAAGAGTAAAATCTAGTTAAAATTGTATAGTTTATTTGATTTAATAATAAATTAATTTTTTAAATAACAATTTGCGTAAGCTCAATTTGTTCAAAATTATAAGTTGCCATTGATTTGTCCGATAAACCAACATGACTGTCAAGTACTTATAATTGTTATGTCGCCTCAAGCAAGAGAAAGAGAACTGTTTGTCGTACGCACAATGAGGTTTCTGTAAAGACATGTTAAGAAAGGTACTTGTCAAAGGTAAATATGGGTACCCGTAAAGGCCAGAGGTGGAATAGACATAGTGACGATTTAATGGACGTAATCGTTTGACTTAGATGATGCCACAGATATACATCGATGAAATGCAAAAATTACGAGACAATGCTTCTTGTAATATCAATCTTTGATTTGTAATGTAATAGGCTTCTCCATGAGTTGCAAAAGTTTAACTCACCATCAACACATCATCATTTTTCGATCAAAACCATTTACGATGACTTGCAATTTAAACGAACCATTGTTCCGATTTTGTTATGTCAATTTTTTCTTTCATAAAATTTTTATAAATCTAAATGCTTCAAATTTTTGACATTATATTGTTAATTTATCTAATTATATAATATTTCTCATATCATTATTACATATTTTTTAACAATTAAAAACTATTAACATGTGTTACATTTCTTTTATAATAAGTTTATAGCGCGTATGCATAATTATATCACAAATATGATAATATATATGCAGTATACATCTTCACGCTAACATTGTAAATCGTAGCTACACAGTAATTAGAAAGGAACTGTGCGCTGTGTGTGTAATGCGTGAAATTTTATTATAGAATTAACTTTCTTTTAATAGAAATATTAATACACCAAAAATTGCTTAAATACATTTTATTTAAATTAAATGTTAATGCAATTAAAATTTAATTATAAAGATTTATCCATTCAAATTTTTGAATTCAAAAGTCTTACTATGTAAATACTAATGGCTCTTGGAAGATTCGGTATTTTCCATAATCTCATAATCTGTATTACCTTTTTTGTAAACTAGCTCCACCAATTATACAATTATACACAAGAAACCTTTCACACATTAACAAGAAATACCGGGAGAGGCTATTTTATTCCCGTAGCGCGTTTTGCTATTCTTCCATATAAATTATACAGCTAAAGGTCACCGGACATGCTTCTTCAAGATAGAACTATTATTCGAACGTAGACGATGCCGCGACGAATGATTACAGTTTAATTCGCTAGCCAGAAGTGCTAGTCTCAGGTCCTTTTAACTTTATTCACTATCAAGATCATAATGCATCTGCTTACAAACACAAAACTGCACACATATAAACAATGTAATTTTAAATATTGCAATCACTTGTGTTTTATTTTTTTGAGATTTTAATTATATTTTATAAATAAGGCAGTTTTTCTTATAAAAAGACATTTTTATTTAAAATAATATGATAAATATTGCACATAAAAAATTCTAAATAATAAGGATTGACTAGAAATAGCATAAATTATTAAATTTCATAAACATACAATAAATATATTGAGAAATTGAATATTGCAGATATTAAAAATATAAGAATTACTTATTGTGAAGTACTTTTTAATAATTTTTTAATTTCTAACTTTTTGAAACAAAATGTATGCTACTGTATACAGAGAGAGAATTTTTATTTTATTTATTTTCTAAAATAAGTATAATGTATAATAGTAAGTGATATTGTTGGCATCGTTCGTAACATCCGTTAGTCAATGAAATAACAATACGTCATATTCCATCCTCGTGAAACCTTTCACGATCATCATCGACGAATAATGTATATAGCACTTCGTGGTTGTTATGTAAGACGATTATGGGTGAGGCGTGAGATTATCCCACGGAGACGATATTCATTCTATTACGATTGCATATGTGAATGACTCGATAATTATTGTAAAAAGAGTTAAAAAAGATATTTTTATTATCTAGATCAATAATGTTGGCAGTATCTTATATATAATAATTATAGAGGATATATATTCATTTTATATATATATATATATTATATGTATATAGTAATAAACGCTACAGTGGCAATATAATGTCTGATATATCAATTTTAATATTATTTAGAATAGAAACAGATTACAATAAAGATTCTGTTACAGTGGAAGCTGCTGTGGGCGGCCGTTCTAGTGGCCGTGCTTTCCACGTGTCATGCAGAAGAAAACCATGAGAAAAGCAAACGTGCTATAGAAAACAGCCCCCAGTCCCAAGGCTACTATTACGAAAAACCATCTAAGCCTTTCACTTTACCTCCTTCTCCGTAAGTGTAATCGATTTTAAGACTAAATATTTTTATAATATTAACAGATTAATTAAATTTGCTCTTTAAAAATTTTTATTTTTGATTAATTATAATTTATGTAATAGTAAATAAAATATTTTCATTAAGCATGTTTGCAATTGATTACATTACAGATCACGTACGAGCATAGTGACACTACCACCTACGGAGATCACAAGAACTACGGTGACATTGCCACCCAGAACACCACCTCCACCTTCGCGAACTCCACCACCGACGCCAAGAACGCGTCCACCAATAACACTGCCACCGAGAACACCACCACCATATACTCCACCACCATATACTCCACCACCAAGAACGCCACCACCATATACTCCTCCCCCGCAAACTCCACCACCAAGAACGCCACCCCCATATACTCCTCCCCCGCAAACTCCACCACCAAGAACGCCACCACCATATACTCGACCTCCATTCTCGACGACAACTAGGATTCCAATCACTCGACCATCTATTGCTACAACACGACCCACCATAAGGTATACTCAGACAACACCACCACCATTAAGAACAACAGCAATAACCGGAGGATATGTTTATACAATTCCACAAACACCGTTTACATTGCCACCAAGAACGCCGCCAACACGTACACCGCCTCCGCAAACTCCACCACCATATACTCCACCTCCGCGAACTCCACCACCAAGAACGCCTCCACCAAGAACACCGCCACCGAGAACGCCACCACCATATACCCCTCCCCCGCAAACTCCACCTCCAAGAACTCCTCCACCAAGAACGCCACCACCATATACTCCTCCCCCGCGAACTCCACCACCATATACTCGACCTCCGCAAACTCCACCACCAAGAACACCGCCACCAAGTACTCTTCCACCAAGAACGCCACCACCATATACTCCACCTCCTCAAACTCCACCACCAAAAACTCCTCCACCAAGAACTCCTCCATCAAGAACGCCACCACCATATACTCCACCTCCGCAAACTCCGCCACCAAGAACACCGCCACCAAGAACGCCTCCACCGAGTACAGGATATATCTACAGTACACCGTCAACAATTTTTACGTATCCACCACCTGTGACTAGAAAGCCATCACCCCCTCTACCTCCGCCTGTAACTCCTCCTTCTCCACCTCCACCTCCAACTAGACCTCCCTATGTACCACCATCTCCGCCTCCAACTAGACCTCCGCCACCACCCCCAACTAGACCGCCATATGTACCACCATCTCCGCCTCCTACTAGACCTCCGCCACCACCCCCAACTAGACCGCCCTATGTACCACCATCTCCGCCGCCTACTAGACCTCCACCACCACCCCCAACTAGACCACCATATGTACCACCATCTCCGCCGCCTACTAGACCTCCACCACCACCCCCAACTAGACCTCCGTATTTACCACCACCGGTTCCAACTATACCTCCCTCTATAGCGCCTCCTTCTCCAACTCTACCACCTTATGTACCACCATCTTTGCCTCCTACTAGACCTCCACCACCCCCAACTAGACCTCCCTATGTGCCACCTACTCAACCCCCTGCACGAACTCCCGCAACTTATCTGCCACCAGACGAAAGCCGTACTGCGATTGTATCGATTCCAACCACTCGACGACCTACCGTCACAACCACTCGACCATCTACTACTACAACGCGAACGACTACTCGGACACCTACAACTTCAACACGATTCACCACCACGAAATATACAACGCGACCCAGTTACCTTCCACCGGAAACTACTCCGTCCACTACGAAACTCACCACACCATCAACCAGACGACCTACTACACGACCTTCCACGCAATTTACTACGCAACCCACCACACCTACGAGACCTTTTACACGAGCCACTACTTCCCTTCCACCAGTCACTACACAAACGGTGTATACCAGTAAATCCACGCCTTCCACTACCAAATATATAACGCCTCCAACTATTCCGTACACGCCATCCTCCACACCGGGAACCTATTTGCCACCGACAATCACACCACGTACACCCACTACCTCAACCACTATCAAGTATACTCCAACGTATCTGCCACCCTCGGAGAAAACTCGAAGACCACCACCATATCTTCCACCGTCAACTCCAAGATCAACCTACGCCACTGTGACGGCGCCGCCGCCACCTACAGTAATTTATACTGTCGTACCCACTATATCGACCACTTATAAAGTGCCGACGAGCGTATATACATTGCCACCCCCAACTCTGCCACCTACGACACCCAGAACCACTCTAGGCTACTACTATCCGATTCCTGACATCCCCTTCGAAACCCGATGAGAGCCAATAACACGAGAGGCTTGGCGCGTGTTAACTAAGCAGCAAAATCGCGAATCTTAAATATTAGTATGCGTAATATTAATATTAGCAAAGATTTTTATTTAAAGATCAATGATAGCGCTGAGTCACTCGCAGAACATTTAGTATATCACCTTTTTTATATATTGATCATTTTTGCCACACTTTTCTCGAACAAGGATTTAGCTCATCACAACAAATATCTTTACATGTGTAAAAAGTGTGGAAAAAAATAAAAATTTTTAGATAAATGTTACTTGCGTATATTTTTTTTCCTTAACATAAAATGTATCTTTGATTAGGCGCTATAGTGAATACAAAAAAAAGTCAAGTGCATTTAAACTGTGTTACATAAATAGTTCAATAGAAAAGTCTGTCAAACGCGTAAAAAAATGACAAGTCGAAATTATTTCAAGATACATAAACACAATTATAATTTTTAATGCTTTACCTATATGTATTTAATGCTACATTGTTTTTTATTTGTGTAATAATATTTTTATTAAATGCAATTTTCAATAAAATGTCAAATAAAATGCTTGTCAAACTTGTTAAATTAATTTTACAAGTTTATTCATTACAGCAATTATATGCTAAGGCGCGCTAAAAATTCATGTATCCATTAAAATTAAAAATAATAGCTAGTAATTATTAAGTTTGTTATTAAATTTACCAATGTATCTAATTAATAAATAATATATGTTTCTGTACAGAATAGCAATAATAACTTTAATTAGTGAAAAATATGTGCATGTTTATACATTTAAACTGCACGCAATCATGACAATGTACATATGTGTACCTAATATGTTTAAAAAATATAATTACAATTTTACTTGGTTTTTTAAATAAATTAACTAATTAACATATAATATTTTAGGTATATCTTAAAACATATTAAGTTAAAAGTATTTGTATTGCCAAAATATACTTTAAGAATTAAACACATAAAGCTATTATAAAACACTATTATGGTCTAATTTTTCTACAACTGTCATCATAACAGTCATAAAATTTTGTGTATAATTTTAAGAGGCAAGTTCTTATTATTTCTAAAAAAACAATACTAATTATCTATAGCAGAGACTATAACAAATTATAGATTTACAACAAACCCATATACATATATTTAAAAATATACATAAAATTCTTTATTTTTCTTTCAAAGATACAAAACGCATATTACTAATTAATATTGCAGGTATTTTACGATGATATTTGAGACAGGCATGGAAAAAGATATAGTCCCTGACGTCGCTACAGTTTAGGATTGTACTGGTGCAATATCAATCATGTATTAAAGTATTCACCACCTCTATTAAAGAAATTTGATTCTTGTATGGTATGATACGTAATATTTTTTGGCTATAAAACAATATCTAGCAAAAAGTAATTATATTATAATTAAAATATTTCAAGGTTTGCGTATATTAACAATGATATGTGTGGCGGCTCACCGCCACACCGCTGCACTGACGCGGTATAATACATCGCGGCGCCGCTACGCGCCGCAGGCCTTCTACCAGTTACAAGCTTGCGGACCCACCGCCAGGTTGCGCAGGCGGTGAAGAACCTTCTCGCGATCAAGCTTCGATCGACGAGATATAAAAGAGCTGCTCCGCAGATCTTTCCTCACTCACTCGCTTCAAGGCGAGCTCTCCCAAGGGCCCTTGAACTGAGTCGTATTCTGCCTCGGCAGAAGATAACCAGAGACACATAGTCTCGCCGTTTTTCTCACACTGCCTCGCAAGGCGTGTAAAAAGAAAGCAGAGTCCCAGCATCGGCCACGCACTTCAACCAAGCGGCCCGCGGATACTCCACTTTCGCCGTCACCTCCTCAGTCTCTAGTGTGGAAATTAATCCCACTAGAGTTCTGCGTCCGGTTGACTCGACCACCAAGGGACACGCTCACTCAAGGCGACATCCGAATTCGGAGACCTCTCTCTCCTCGGTACACGGAGCAATCCGTAATCCGAGAGCCGAGACGGTTGCCACCACCAGCACACCAGAGACTCGATCCATCGCAGTACAGACTTCACCGCTCAGAGCCTGCTCAGAGAGCAGTTGTCAGACGGAAGACCACTTCCCGAACGGCGTTCCACCGACGCCGGGAAAGGGGCTGCAACGAGCTAACTCAGTTGAACCGTCCTTTTTAGGACCCGTTCAACACACTAAGACGCGGCCGGTAATTTCTTACCGCGCCCGTCAATTTTTCTTTTAATTCTCGGCCTTACACGCTTGCCGAGAAAGCGCCTCTGGCGCACTTAATCAAATCAAACACAAAACTTGTACTTTACTCTACTTCTCTGACGAGGAAAAATAAATTATATTTTTCTAAGGAATTGGTCTCAATATCTTTCAACCAAGTCGAACACAATCCTTAGGCATACGCCTATAATTTGTATTACTTCAATTATTTAGGCGGCATACAGTTTAAGAATAAAAGCGATTTACTTAATCCATGCTCCAAAATATATAGACATATTTATGAAAGCAGCGAAATCAATGTTTAGAGCAAAATTGTTCAACAGAGTAAGTATATTTTGAAATTATATAAATGTAATTTGTTAAATAACTACAGTTTGGCCTTTGTTAAAACAATTCCACAATTTCAATTGGCTCTATTATTTCAGATTCACGTTTACAAATCAGAAATAGAATCATTATATAAAACAATACCAAAAGCAATTTTACCAACGGATTATGACGGTGAAGAACCATCAATGGACATATTAACAGGTAAAATATCATCATCGTTTTAAATACATGTACTTATCAACAATTTGAACAATTTTAAAATTAAAATGCAAAACAGAAAATAAATAGCACCTAGCCATGTGTTTGATAAAAAATGAATGTTATTTTAATTATTATATCTCAGCAATAATAGACTATACTCAAAACTGTTTATCTCTCTCTTTAATATAATTCGGAGATTAAAAGGTGATTAAAAAGTTTAAATATTTAAGAAGTAATTTTTGCTGTTATTGTTTCTAGATATGTGGCGTGCAAAGTTAGCCCAACAAAGAGACTGTCTTATAAAAGAAGAAAGACGGAAAACGCAGGAATCTCTCCGAACAAATTCTATAATAAATCCTAATGAATTATTCGGAGTTCCGGGAACATTTAGAAAATTAGAAATTGATTGAAATATTGTCTTATAAATCAATATAAATAAAAATTTTTTAAATTGCATTAATCAAATTAAAAAAATATAATTAATAAGAGCAAAGAATTTGTCGCTGCTAGACCGAACTAACATGTTAACAATTAATCCTAAATTATACATGCTTATTTAAAAAAATTGGATTTACTCATATGTAGAAGTTAAATAGAGAAGGTCAGTATTTGACCTTCTGATGTTGTTAATGACGCAATTTAATGCATACTTTTTGGGTTTCAATCCACTTTCCTGAAAAGTTAAAATTTAGCGTACATTAATATTTATAACTGTTATTTCGTCTTGTAGCAAGTTTTTACGACGAACAAGTTTTTATAATTTTGAATTATAAAAACTGAGTTTATTGTAAGAGCGAATTAAGAAACACAACAAAAGTATAGATAAACAAAGAAAGAAATTTGGAGGAATATAATTATGTAAAGATGTTGAAAAATTAAATTAAATTAAAACATTATAGTTGAGCGCTGATCTTTTTTTAATCTCTATATAATTTTTAACTC